ACCTTTCATGGAAATTTAATGCCTATATCTTTGAAAACGGAGGAGGAGTTGTGTTTTGAAAACAATATGTTTAATATGTTCTTTATGTAAATTTCGGAAATCCTGTATGTGATATGCAGATCACAAAACAAAATCAAATAACCAATCAATATATGACATTAATTAGTTTTGATTTTCTTAGAATGTCGCACACCAATATCATACCCACTTTGCATAGCAATAGTAAAATATCGAATATTTTTCAAAAACAATATATAATGCGGATCTTTTTATTTCAAATATAATAATGTTCCAGAAACGCGCGTTTTTTAAATTTTAACCCAAGTATTGATTCTTGATGTAGATGTATCAGTATTTGACACATATAGAGCTATTTGATTTTTGACTGAACTGACATGTTTTTGTTTCTAAGGCCAACCATTTGGTGAGAGAGAATCATTACTTTTTTTTAAACTTATTTCTGCGTAAAGAAACTAAAATTTACAACAACACTAATCTTCAATATCTTTAATAGAACATCATCTGGAGATAATGATGTGAAATTAGTTTATTTAAGTTCTTATGTAGCTTCTTCGTAAGTAAATGCTGATTTATTAAATAATTTCAATTTCGTTTTCTAATTTTAATTGATTTGCAGATTTCATTAGATGGGCAGCTCATACTATTGAAAAATTGGATATTAAATTAAAAATAATAAAGTAGCAACATTTTGAAAAATTCAATTAATATTAGGTACTCCAGTCTAAGGAAAAACAAATTATTTGTAGTAATTTTTCAATTAAGCACACACACTAACTCCTAAATGTTAAATTGTGATCATTATCACCTCTTTATTTTTTTATTATTATCTAGTCTTTTCTAAATGTACGTACAATTGCATCAAAATGTTACATTGCGGCTACATTTTTTTAATTTTAAGAAAAAAAAAAAATAATAAATTCACATGTTGTTATTTATAACAGATATAAAGTGTGTGTGTGTTTAAGTATTTCATGGCTGTTAGTAACATATTAAAGCTTCAACCCCCGTGATATGTAAACTTGAGCTAACATAACTGCTCAAAATTTTTATAAAAAAAATAGTAACTACAGTTCACTCTTTCTATAATAATAATAATAGTGGATCTTGCTCTATAACAGACTGAGAATTTAAGTTCAATTTATATGCCCCATATGTAAATAATCACTGTTTATAATGGACATTTTCGTAAACCATTATAGAGAATGAATTGTATACTAATATTTAAACACTACACTACATTATGCTACATTATTTTCCACCATTACACTCTTCATATTCTTGACTTTGTTGTAATTCTAATAAAGAAAATAAGTAATTATGAGTATTATGAATATTTAATCATAATATTAATAAAAACATATATCATTTGTGTTTCTGCCCATTCATTCGCAGGAGTTATTATTTTTTTTTAAGTGTTTTCTCAGTAACATGCATAATAAATGTTGGTTTTTTTGGTACTAAAATGAAGAGTAAACCTTGAAATATATCTTATTTGTGATGTTACTCTCAAAACTAATTAAAAATGTATATCAATATGGTCGATTACTCTACCCTTAAACAATTGCATGCATGAATTTTTTTGGCAGCAAAAAAAAAATGATTAAATAATTTTTTTTATTAATAATTTACATCAGTTCCCCTTTAATCTATAACATTATTTTCAAGTTTTACAACAAAGTATTTGTCATTTTTATATCTGGATACACACATATGTAAAGCAAAAATTTGAAAAAATCATTGTAACGCGAATTTTATTATAATTCGTTGAAACAAGATTCATTGAAACGAGGTTTTGCATGATGATGTTCAACATTTGATTATCAAGTCAGTATTTTATTATTTAGATGATTTACACCATTGAGTAGATTTTTGTTACTGGATTAAGAATGGTTGGCGAAATACTTTGCAGGACGGGAAATTATTTCGTGTTAATTTCGTCGCATTTGACGAAATGTGACGAAATTGAAGTTGACCAATTAAACCGACCAAATTTTCGTAACCAATGATCAAAGGTATGCCAAATATTGATTTTATATATATCAGTATAGTAATGTCACAAAAAAAATGATTTGGATTTGGAATCCTTTGTCTTATCATCATGATAAGAAGAATTGAATTGCCATTTGTAACACAATAATAAAATATTAAAACCCTAGGTTTTCAAAAAATGTACTTTGAGCATATACGTCGATTTTTGTTTGAACCTCAAATTCAGTATGGTATGACCATAACGTTATGAATACCTTATACTAGCAATAATCCATTAGTTTTGAGGTAGTGTCGTTGGTTTGACAGGCTACTGAATAATAAAATAGTTTTTTTTTGGCGGAGCAAATAAAGTTTTTAGGGTTAATTATCACTCTACTGGTCAGTTACGCACACACAATAAGGTATACATGTAAGCTCGTTAAGTCGGATACAACAATCAATTGTTTAAAATAAATAAATGACCGACCTATCGAGTTTACATGTATGTAGGGTTTAAAAAAAGGGTCCAAAAAACAAATCGGCTGGCTGATATGGTAATTACATATTACCAGCAATTTTCCCATTACTATCCTTGTCCAAAGTTGATACATGATGTTAATATATTGGCTAAAATGTTTGCACTATATAAAACAATCAATATATGTATAACTAATGGATCCTGACATATTCAATGATAGAATCGTAGAAATGGTGAAGGTATGAAGTCAATAACCCTACATCTTAATGTTAATTCTCAAAAACTAACTCATCGTGACTTAGCCTCTCTATGTTTAAGTTTAGTTACCCTCTGAATCCTCTTCCTCTTAGGCAATTATTTTTGAAGATTGACAAAAGGTTTTTTATTTTGTAACTTGTTGACTTACTATATACTACAGGAATCATTCAAATAATAGGACAAAGATCATTTCAAGCCAAAAAATTCAGTTCAAATAAAGATTTGTTTTCAATTTATATATTTGATATTGACAGTTACTGTTTTGTATGCTACGTATTTTATAATTATGATTATGATTTATAATACGTTTTCCTCAAAAATGAAAAGACAATGATTACAAGTTTTTACATATCTGCTGCGTCACAAAAAAATTTTGACTCATTTATATCCTCCATAACCAATATAGCCAAAAAACTATCAAACTTTAATAGATGAAACAAAAATAAAAAACAGAAATCCCAAAGTGGGTTGTGGTAGAACAGCATAGCAATGTTACACGATTCAACAAATAGAATGGACAAATGAAAATAGTTGAATTATCATCTAGACCTTACCATTCAACCTTTAATTAGTCTAAAACATTTACTTGAACGAAAAGATTGGAATATTAAAACAGCGTGATGAGTGGTTCCAGAAAAAATTATGGATTATTGGTATAATCATTGGAAAAGAGATATCTTCTAAAAAAAATTTTCTATATATTGAATATAAAATTAAATAATTAATTATTATATAAATATTAACTTTGGTATAATAATTGAATGTTAATATAGTATGGCAACTTTAATTAAATAATAATATAATAATTTTAAATTTAAGTTCATTCATATAAAAACGTATAAAAAACCCTGAAAATCTATCAACAACATCCACGGTACATAATGCAAAGTCGTAAAGCTAATTAAGGCTTTAAAATAAATTATAAATTCTGGGTTCAAAGTTCACGAAAGAGCTCCGACTTGCAGTTTGTTTTCCATAACTCAGAAAATAGATTTAATTGGAGACCTTAAAACGTCCATACTAATAACATTTATGGCAAATTTTTCATAAAAATAAAAAAATATCAATTGATATAAATATGGTATATAAAAAGTCTTTGTCCTTAATATTAATATAGTTGCCTAATTTAGAGAGTTATCTTTATATATATTACTATTTTTAGTATTACAATAATAATAGTAAACAGCAATTTCCTTTTTACTCGGGAGAATTCTTTAACCACTGATATTTTAAAACGTTTTGGTAGAATATTATTAGTTGCTTGATTAGAAGCGGAAATTTGCATTATTTATACAATATTAATATCATTATTAACAACATCAAATCAGAGCAATCAAAAAATCAATTTAAATTTATATGGAATGAACGTGAACGCAAAGGTCCCCAACGAATAAATAACTTGCCATGAATCATCATCGTCAATGAATTGTGAATACTGAGAACGCTATGATTCTTTTCTTTACTGAAAAACCAAGGGATTTTTTTTTTTGAATTAAAATAATGACTTGCTTTTTTTTAAGAAGGTCTAAAACCAAAATTAAATAAAGACATTTACAGTATGAATCACAATATAACACATCATTCAAATGTTTCCCCAAAATGCCGATTACTATTATATCAATGTCAACAGTCAACTCCATATAGTCACCTCTTTTATAGTCACTTCTCACCTATAATCACTCCAGCCTTAAGGAAGTACCAATATATGGTCATATAAAAAATCACTTACTATAAGATAATCACAACTTTTAGCTGGTCTCAAGGGGTGTGACTATAAAGGGGGGTCGACTTGATTTTTTTAGCCATAAATTTTGTGTTCCAATGGAATTCTTTCCATTATATTATTTTATCTTATAAAATTGAAGGACGTGCGAATTTTAATTTTAGCTATTTTTTTAATTACGTGATTTTTATGAATAGAATAGACCCGGCACTCGCCGATATTTTTACTATGTAAAACAATATTTTCAAAAAAGCCAACAATCTCTTTTCTTTTGAAAAATCTCTTTAAATATTACTACATAAATCTTTTTCTTCACCACAGCAAGTATAATGGTGGACTCATTAACTTTCTTGTGATCGCATCAAGGATAGAAAGATTAACGTAATTTACATATTTGGACCGTCGCCATCATAATCACAGTTCTTCTGATCACACTGTAAAAAAATAAAACTTAACAATGATTAAATGTTTGTAAACTATTTTGCAAACATTTTACTGAATGTTTAACCTAAGTCAATTCTGATTTTTTAGTTTTGTCAGGAGTCATTTACAAAATTAACCAACGTAATAATCAAAAATTCATATAGTTTAGCCTTTACATCAAGAAAATTTTTCCAACGCAATATTACGTAGAATGTTATTATATGATACTGCGTAAGATTACATAATAATAATTATTATGTAATCATTTCGCATATTGTGGCGGAAAATCTTGACTGACGTGTAGAAGAGCATCTAAATAACAATATAGTAGGTTGGAAGGAGGACCAGGAGTAAGCATTAAAAGCCACAAGTGGTGAGTTATAATGATTATCCGGCACCTACTAACCCAAACATCGGCTAAATGGCTGACTGTACAGGAGTAAAATACTAGTCTTGTGGAAAAGAGGCCTAGGAGTAGCAGGTAGAGTGACCCAGTTAAACTGAGCCTCCAGTCACGGGGCGAGGGTAGGATACCGTTGATGCTATCTTTTCTAACTGAATTTGATGTGTACTAAGTAAAGATGTGCATAATGTTTAACAAGAATTAATTTCTTTGTATAAAAGCTTACGTTATACAGTTTATTATAATCAGTCATACATACATAGCTGGAACCTTTGTTACATTATCAATTTAAAGTTTGATTGTTCAAAAAAGAATCAATTGAAAACGTTGAAAAATTTTTAATCATAAATTTTTTATTTTTTATTTTTTTTTTGTTTTTTTTTTTTACTTGCATATAATAAAGTTTTTAATCCTTAAAAAAAAATTAAATTATTTCATAAAAAGCTTTAAAAAAATTCTTTTGCATGTAATGCTGTGATTGGAAAATAAATAGACAAATTGATGTTATAATATATACATAATAAATAAAAAAAATTACGATACGGATTAATCGATTGGTTAATCTCAATTACTATTAAATTACTAGCTACTAACTACTCCTGCTACCAACTACTACTACTACTGATCGAGTTATTATTATATCGAACGAGACACTCGTAAAAAAGAGAGACGGGTGTTGTGTTGTGTTGTGTTGTGTTGCTGAATTCTGTCATCGTTCTTTTCCGTCTTCTCTTTTTTTTCTTTTGTTTATTTTTTTGGAGGTTCTCGATTATTTATTCTTTTTGTTTTTTTTTTTTAAAAAATTAAAAAAAACCAATAAAAATTTGAAAAAATAATAACTAATAATTACTTTTTGTTATGAACTGATTATTAAAATTAGATGATTGAGGATGGTTATAACTATCAAAGTCGATATAATTTTGTTGAGGACGTTGATGTTGGTGTTGATTATAATTATGTTGATTGTGTTGATTATATATTGGATATTCCATTAAATCATTAGAATATGTTGTAGTAGGCGTGGTGAACTGATTATTATTATTATCATCATTATCAATCATTGAGAATGAATTATTCGTATGAAGAGGTGGAGAAGGTGTGTTGCTAGTGGTAGTGGGAGCGGTATTGATTTGATTCTGTTGATGATAATACATTTGTGGTTGATTTTGGATCGCTAATAATTGTTGTTGATGATGTGGATGATTATAATGAGGATGTGAATTTTGATGATAAAGATTGGAATCGGGGTGATTGTTATAATTATAGTTGCTTATATTGCTAAAGTTGTTATCAATATTATTATCCATCATCATATTCATATTCATATTCATATTATTATTATCCATATTAGTGTTACAATTTATAACTGTTTGACGTTGAGCCAGAACATAAGCAGAGCTTCTTCTAAGACGTTTTGCGGCCTTTCCTCCAACTTCGCTTCCTTCGACATTATCTTTTCCACGAGTTAATAAACGACGCTTTCTTTCTTGTGGCCTTCTTGGACGATACCTATACTCTGGGTATTTCTTTGTGTGTTCTTCTTTTGCGGCCTCGGCCATCTTCTGATACTTGAGTCTAATTTCCACCGGCTCTTCATGCCACATTTTGCCAATTTCCTTGGATACATCATTATTAGAGATCCCGACATTTTTAGCTACTATTGCCGGTTGTTTTGCTCTTCTATAGAGAATAAAGGCATTTGGTGGTCTTGGAGGTTTCTTTGCTTTATTATTAGCTTTATTTGCATTTGCATTATTGGCATCGTTTTTCTTTGCATTTGCAGCAGCATTAACACCACATGGTAATGCATAGGAGGGAAGCCGGACATCAGTATCAGGGAGCATTCTTGAAACATTTGGTACGGCTGACACAGGTTTTGTTGATTCTAAAAGATTAGTTACTGTTTGAGCTTTTGTATCATTTGGCACAAGGACTGGTTCGAAGCCCTCTGGAATGAAGTAGAAATGACCTTTCTTTTGTTCATACAAATCTTGAACTTTGTCATACGAAACATATTCAAAATGTGGGAATTGATTATTGCTGTTGTTGTTATTGAGAGCGTTGATATCAAGATTGCCGTTGAGATTGTTGCTGTTAGTTTTGAGATCAATTTCAATTTCATTTCCAATTTCATTTTCAATTTCAACCAGATCTTTGTCATCGGTATCATCAACTTTTATCTCGATTTCTTTATCATCAACATCATCTAGAATGATACCATCATGTTCTTCTTCATCGTCTTCTTCTTCGCAATCATCTTCTATTCCTTCAACAACTTCAACATCTTCGTTTTCGTCGTCGTCGTTATGTTTGACTTCGTTTTTATAAATGTCATAACCAAGCTCTTCATCAACATAAATTCCTTGGTCTTCTTGTTGATGAAATAAAGGGGATGGGGATAATTTAATATTTTCATATAGTTTATGTTGGTTTCTTCTTAATGCAGAAGAATAATTATCAAGATTGTTCACATTGGTCATGATAACCGTAGTCGACATTTATTTACTTTTTATTTATTTAGTAGTAGTATTATTAAGGTGATAGTAGTGTGTGTTATTATATTAATTAAAAAAAAAAATTAAAATTTTTTATTTTTTTAATTTTTTTTTTAGTTTGTTTAGAAAAAAAATTCCCAGATTTTTATCATTATTTATTTATATATATAAATTTAAAATAACAATATAAAAAAAAAAATTTTTTTTAATTTTTTTATTTATATTAATCTATTTTCGCTCTTTGTTATCTTCGTTCTTTTCAGCTATCTATATATATATAAATACTTAATCAATAAATAATATCACATTATCTCTTCAATGTGATGCGGGGTATTAACAAATTAAGTAGAAAGTACTAAATTTGAATAAATTTGTGATTAATAATTAGTCAAAGTCAACTAGGTATTGTTCCCACTATCCAATTAACGGTATTATTAAAAAGCTGTGAATTTATTTATCACCTTATACATTTGGAATTGAGACAAGGGTTCTATTTTTGTAACTCGTCACAGAAATCTAGAATTTTCTAATTGACGTTAGCTCTTTTGATTTTCAGATGCTTACTTTTATTATTATGGCGTAAAACAAGAGAAATGTTTCGCATGGAATTAAATCATGGGCATATATTCGCATAAATTGGATATACATTTGCCGACTGTATGTATATCATACAATATTAATAATCAACAAAACCACCACAAAAAACCTGAATTTTACAAAAAAAATTTTTTTTATCAAAATCTATGAACAATTAGTAATTTGGAAATAAAACATAAAAAATGTCGGAAAATCCTTTTTTTTTTTTTAATTTGCTTTTTGCATAATTATTGTTTTCAATCTAGCATTCATTCAAATTTTTATCAATGTGTGTTTAACCACGTTTTTTGTTTTTCCCTTTCAAAAAACGTACGCAATCATGCAATTTTATTAAAATAGATGCAACGAATATGCAAAAGATGATGCACAGGTGGTGGATGAAAAAAGATGGTATTTCACGTGGTCATGTACAAACATTCTTTGTCTAATAATATTTAGTGAGTAGGCAATGATAATTGACAATATTAAAGATAAATTTCAGCAATAATGTTACCATAATTATAATTATTGTAAGTAATTTTAAGTTGCTTTTATTATTTTATTTCGTTCTTTTCATTCTTTATCTTATCTTTTTGTTCTTTATTTCTTTATTTCTTTATTTCTTTCTTTCTCTCATTTCCGATAAATAACTATTTACTGTTGATTGTACGATTAAAATTTTAAAATCCGTCAGATGACCATAATGACGCATTATTATTCATGATGAAATGTTGCAGAAATTGATAAAATAAATAGGCAAAATGAATTCATTGTATTTAGTATAATGAATAATGAGTGTGTGTCATTATTTCACCCATTCATTTGTTGACGAAATAAAACAAATTTTTTTAAAATTTTAAAATTTTTTGATTTAATATGACCTTCTAATTACAAATCATCATCAATACTAATTTTGGGAAAAAGAGAGTATTTAGAGCCCAACCAATCAAAAAACTTGAAACAGCCTCAATAACAAAATTACTTTCTTTGTTCTAATTAACATTCTGGATTTTTATTATTTTATTATCACAATATAATTATTAATTAATTTAAAAAATACTACGTAATTTTTTTACTAGGCTTATATTATTTACTATATATACACGTTATAAAAAAAAAAATTAAACCCTAACAATATGTTTAGTTTATGTGATTGTTTAAATTTGTTGGTTTTTTTTTTGGTTGGTTGGCTTGATTTTTGGCTTGATTTGGTTAATTTTGGTAAATTTGAATTGAATGAGATTTTAAATATGTTTATTACGTCAAGTTTTAATGCCAATATTAAATATACTTATTTAGATTACAAATGTCCTATCAATCCATTCTTCTTCTCTCGGCATGCTACTTACATAACCTTAATATTAAAAACATTTTTGTTTTACCCCACATTACAACGTTTTTTCTTGAAAACAAATAAATTAGTTTTAAAAAGAGAAAAAAAACAAAAAAAAAAGAATTTTTTTGTAACAATTGAATAATAACAATGCACAATTTTCAATTGTCCAACAAGTGTTACCAAATAAGGTAATATGATGTTAGAAAATTATAGATAACATTGGATAAAAATTGATTTTACGGCCGATTTCTATTTTTCTTTTCCCTATTTTAATGTTACACACTTGTTGTCATTGTAGGTTTATTTCTATTTTTTATTGTATTTTATAAGTTTAGAAAAAATACTAAAATTTATTAGTAGATTTTATTAATTTAAGCCAATTGTCTATTATTCAATGAAAATTACGTATGTTTTTAGGTATTAATATTCCAAATTAATATATTAATTTGGAACACCTAAAATACGATTTTTATTATAGTAGTTTTTGTAACAGCCGATAATAGTGTTTATTACTATGAGATTAAAAGTACTTTTTTCAATTGTCTTAAATATCACTTAATGTATTAATAATAACTAGAAATCATGATAATAATCACTTTGACACCCCATTTATTCACAATTATACACTATTTTAACACACGCCTATTTAATATCCACATTTACTTTTTGCATTATAAAAATACAATATTCTGAACAATATGGTTTTTCAATTCCTTTGTTTATTACTAATGGGTTTCTTTCAAATATTTCTATTTTTCCTTTTAGCTAATTGAAACACTGGAGTTACAAGAACAATAGTTAGCATTGATCTAATCATTTGAAGTTGACATATTTGTACTTGGATGTTTAAATTTAACATGTTTTTTTATAAAAATGGTTTTGAAGAAATAAGAATAAATAATTTCCGCCGTCGTCATCGCTCGAATAACCAATTAGTTAATCGTCAATTGACTCAATGAAAATCTGAATTATCGCTAACTCTGTCAGTCTAGAACCCAAAAAAAGACCAAAAAGAACAATATTAATTTAATTTACGATTGTTCCAGCAACAGGCCAGACGAAGCATCCTATCCCGCATATATTTATTTATCCATGTAAATATATGTATATATATATATATAATAAATTAAATATAAATTACGTGTTGTAAATCATTAGACAAGAATATACAAGATAACAACGAAAAAGAACAATCAAATAAAATAAAATTGCGTGCTTCATCACTTGCATACATGTAATTTAAAATAACTGGTAACTGATAGCCAATAATGGTAATAATAATAACAGGCGCCGTCTATCTATTTAGAAATGAGCGCCTAAATGAATAGTTTTTTGATTTAAGGATTTGGAAACTCTATTAAAATGAGTGTAAAAATGTCAACAACAATAAACTGTCACGCGTTACGTAAATTACATTCATTCACTCAATCGTTGATTTATTTCTTGATTGATCGATTCTTTGGGAATATTTTATCTTTTGATAGGCTAAAACAAGTCAACAAGTTAACAACGACAAAGATAAGGAATAAAAATTAAAACGTGTATGAGAAACACGTATTTTACTGTTACATACATTTACACACACATTTACGTTATATATATTCATAAAAAATATGCAAAAAAATTAACCACAACACTTTATTTCCATTCATTTAATCTATTTAATCATTTATCATTATCATACAAAAAAATAAAAAATAAAACGCGTAATTTATTATATTAATTAATTAGAACAAAATTATCTAATAATAATAATAATAATAATAATAATAATAATAATAATAATAATAATAATAATAATAATAATAATAATAATTTATAATTATAGAACGCGTATCGTTTTATATAATTAATTAAATTAAACTATGGGTTTACTATTACGTGTATATATATATATTACAATTAAATTACACAAAATAGCAATTGTTACAATTTTAGAATTAATTTAATTATTTTATATATTCAGTCAACTGAATGATGCATCTTAATAAAATAACGGTGATTAAATCGGCAGGTGATATAACTTTAATTTAAAAAACAATTAACAACCAAACTGGTGGTAAACTTATTATAAACAAACAAATATATACATATAGCTAGAATTAAATAAGCAGTATATTTTTTATAAAACTCCGCGGCATTCAAAGTCGGGGCTTTGTATAATTGACTGATTAACTGATTTACTGATTGATTGATTGATTAATTGATCGATTGATTATAATTATATTTTATACAATGACCGACTGTTTGTTTTAATTTAACTCAGAGAAATGTCTCCTTTATTCTGTTTCTTTATCCCTTCAATAATTAAGTTTGTATTGTTCACACGTACAAAATACATTACCTCATACGAATTCTCTCACATACTAACCCAGACTCGATTACCCAGATATCTTTTGTTCACACGCACATTCCCTCAGAAACCTGATTGTATTGTTAATTTAATCAATCTTTTATTTATCGTTTCCATTAATTTCATTCATTAATTTATTTATATTGTATTTTTCTTTTACCTGTCAACTTTTTTGACAGTAAATATTTGCGTTGTACGTTTCACATTGTGAAGCTTGGAATTTCTACACATTCATTCACATTCATGTTTGTTCGTATTCATACTCATTTTTATAGACATGAAACTATGTGGATGAGGGGATGTAGGAGTTATTTTTTGTTTATTTAATTAATTAAATGTTACACAAGCATAAATATTTACTTTACTCCACAATTTTTTTTTACCATTTTGGATATAGAATTATTTGACAGTTTTTTGTATAATAGGAATCGACACTACTATTGTTCTCCTTTTTATTGTTGTTATATTTTTGACATATAAGTCGATCGCAATAAAGTTATTAATTATTTTTGGGGAAAACAACAAATGGAAATCCCATTTGATTCATCACTAATGGCTGGCAAAAAACAAGTTTTTACTGTGCTGTGCAATGAATGTATTTTAGCCTGAATTATCAAGTTCTTCTGCAAAGAATGGAAAAAATTACACCATCGTTTCATTCAGTTTCTACTTAAGATAATAATCACACTTGATGAATGTAAAATCAGACAAAAAGATGTATTGTTTGAATTTATTGGC